CTATGGCGTTGAGAGAGACCTAAACCCCGGACTCATTGTGCAGCCGCTCAACACAGATGATATCATAAAGACTCTGAGATATGCCAAGGAGAAGAAAGTAGCTGTCGCTATCAAGACTGGCGGCCACCAGTATTCCGGGGCGAGCTCCACGTCGGCGCCCAACATCCAGCTAGATTTAGAGAAGACATTCAGGGCACCATCAGATCGAGCTATTTTCCGCAAAGACGGCAAAGCTTACGCTCGTACAAGCGTTAGCTGGAGTCTGGGGGAGTTTAACGCCTGGCTGGCGGAAAACAAGGTCTTCGTGCCTCATGGCCAATGTACTGAGGTTCATCTTGGCGGTCATGTCCAGTCAGGAGGTCGGTACCCCATCTATATCTGGCACAGTATTGAGCGAGCCCCATCTAACATTTTTGCACGTAGGTTACGGCCAACTTGCCCGTAGCTTTGGTCTCCTGGGGGATCATGTCTTGTCTTTGGAGATCATCGACTCCGATGGACATACCAAAGAAATCACGAAAGCCAGCAACCCCGATCTGTTCTTCGCCTTCCTCGGTGGAAGCCCAGGGAACTTCGGTGTATTGACTCATTTCACAATCCAAGCCCACCAAGACGAGGATTACAATGGAAGCAGAGGGATGAAGGCCATGTACTTCTACGACACCAACACGCTGAAGCGCTTGCTAGACATTCTAGTAGAAATGTCCGATGACGAAAATTTTCCACGAAACTACGATCTCTGCATTAGCGTATTGAGCTCGGCATTCCCACTTCTTGATCTCTGCCCAGGTCTAGATGAACATATGGCGCGCAAGCATCCGGAGGCGAGTGACTTTTGAATCCATCATGACAGTTACCGATTACTGACCTTGTCAATCCTATAGTGAGTATGCGATGATGATCCGATTGCCAATTCGGACATCCCGTTCTTTGAGGCAACAAGCATAGTTGTGTGTAAGACAGCTAGGACATATGACTAACGGGTCTTATCGCAGGTTGTATGGCGACAACGGACTTATTGCATGGCCAAGGGCCATCGCCGTCTATGCGCAATGGGTTCCGTTCGAGAGTGGTGACGAGTGCGACATGTCATGGTTCGATCGTATCAAAGAGGGCTCGGACTGGATATTAGGCGACAACGACGTTAACGAGAAGCGGTGTGTACCAAGCAATGCGTTTTCCTTCGTCACTTTCTGAAACAACTCAGGCTAACGTATACGGTAGTAAGTACTAGTTGTTTCGATTTCAAAAGCTCAGGCAACGGCTGGACAATCCTACAAGATAACAATTCGACTCCGAACCATGAGGAGTAAAGGAACGGACTAACATGGTGCTATGACAATAGCTATGTCGGAGCTCACGGGTGACTGGATCTTCCGAAACGTCCGTGAGTTCGAGAAGCCATACGTCAAAAGGACGTACTCAACCAATTCCCGTACGCTCGGTAAAGACGGCTGGGCGGAATGGGCCGTCAACCGCATCGACGCAATTGTACGTCCTGAGCATAACCGCTGCTGGCTGTCAGCACAACTGCAATGTTTCGGCGGTAAGAACTCCATGTTCACGAGGAATGCCGGGAACGGCACGGCGTACAGCTGGCGAGACACGTCAATTGGGTGCACAATGGATTGTTTCCACGATGCCGAGACCAAAGTCCGCGCCGAGGACTGGCAGAAGGTCAACGACGAGGAGGCGATCGGGCCCAATGGGATATTCTCCAAGAAGGACCGTCGTGTGGTGCGTGTGAAAACATCCCGCCCCGTCTGAAGACGTCTAGAACGCAGAACAGAATGTGATCAAACCCAAACTAACATAATTGATTCTCGAAGCTTTGGGGTTCATATGGCGATTGGAATCTCGACGAAGTCTGGGATTGCTACTACGATGATCGCGCCAAATATGAGCGACTCCAGAACATCAGAAAAGTCGCGGATCCTTACGGAACCTTCACGCCGAATCCGTTCTGCGTAAAACGTGCTGTATAGTCTCACACAGCAGACTTGCTGTCTCGGGGATTACCTATAACCCGACAATTGGGCCTAAGAACTGTCAATTGGGGCTCCGTCAAGACCGAAATGATCTTCACGTGCTGAGGTGGTTGGTTGGCCGCACAAGTTTTCTGGTAGTCGTTTGCTTCCGCGCAGAAAGTATTCATCTGCAGGACCATCTGTGTAACTGCTCAGAATACTTAGATGTCAGGTAGCGATGTAAGATTAGCTAGGATGCTGAGATAATGTGATTCGTAAAATAGTTTCAACTATTTACTACGGAGATGCTCTCCTCAACTACCTACCGTAGGCATCTGTGAGGGTGCAAGTTGCAATACCAGAACCCCACGTAGCCATGTGCAGTCAGTCCGGATCCCTGCACGGTCCCCAGCAACAGTTCGCTGAGCCATACATACGTGTATAGATTCGAGGCGGCCAGTTGATGTCGCAAGGCAGACAGTATTATTATAGGCACTGTAGTGCAGACAGGCAGCTCATGGCGCAGATGTAATATTGGGCGGATTGTGTTGTACCAATCCGTGTGAAATATCTCATGAACCGTGACCCAATCCTCTCAATGCTGACTCTTTATTCTTCCATGTAGATTATGACAATGATGACGTTGGAATGGTCTCGGTGAGAATCCCATAAGGCGACGGAGAGGCGAAAAGGAGGCGAACACGGGGCTGCACTCGAGCGACTCATCTAGCTTCATATCGGGGCATGGTTGAGGCCGGGCGTAATGCAACGTGGGCAGATCCTTGGCCATGGCTACTCAGAGCGAGCTGAATATTGAAATAGGACACTGTAAACTGTTCGGATACAACCTAAGTGAAAGCGCAACCAAGTTGGAAGAGTCAACACAGCCGTTTGTCACTTGACTCTAGAATGGGAGCGTTGGCTTGGCGATGGAGGGCGGTCCAGGAGTGCACTGCGGTCGGCAGTCTATCCTGCTGATTGAAGATTTCATCAGATTGGGGGCCGAGAAGCCAGTGCTGTGGAACACAGTCTAGTAATCTTCTCCATATCCGGGACACTCCCTTCAGCTGAAAGAGCATGAGGTCTGGAGCCGAGCCTCGCACCTTGGTGGCTATCCGATGTTCCAATTCACCTCGGGACTGTTCTCAACTGGGTGCCTGGCATACTGACGGGCCTAAAACCGAGTATTCTGGATGTATAATTATTATTAATTGTGCTCATATCTGACACACCTCGCGCAAATGAGCATAGATTGCCACTCAACCCAATTTGCCGGACTGAAGCTCCCAGGTTGATACTTGCTTAACACGGTCGATAACACGTTGCTGTGTTAGATATTTCTACTAGCCTTTATTCGTGAGGCTGACCTGCTAAGTATTCTCAAACGAGTACTGTGAATCGTTAGTTGATACCAGAATCGGAACATCATCAGCTGTACCTATTCAGTCCCATTTGAGGCTTCCTCTAGTTAAGCAGTTGTGACGTCTTGAAGACGATAATTGCGCGGGCATTCATCGAATGCAGAAGTACCTGAATGTGGCAGATAGAGCACCTCAACCTACAGGAGGTTCCAACTGGCGGTGGTGGCATTCCCGGACAGCTAGGACGTCTTGCCCTCTCTTAAGCCATCTGCAAAGACAGGTCAGATTGACTGGTGGGTTGCTAGGTATTCGCCGAAAGGTGACCAATAAGAAAATAAGCAAATGTATCCTCTCACGCCACCTCCGCTCGAGATTATCTTATCATCAGGTCCTGTAGAGCAATGACCGAAGTACCTGTTTCCGACCCAGTTGGGGTACCTACGCACCAATTATCCCTATGGTTGGAGGACGTTCTGACTTCTCTACTCGCGTTGGCAATACAGGCCATGATCCTGGCAAACCAGAGCCAGCAGAGCCATTTTCCCGCCCACGTTGGATGCGAAGACGTCGCGTCGTGGAAGGCCGCGAGACTTGAGAACGTTCGGGGCAATCCTTGGACAACTGGAAAATGAGCAACGAGAGCAGCAGCTTGAGAATGTCCCACAATCTGGCAACAATCGCAATCGCCGTTGGTGGAGGAGTTAGGGGGTGTGGTCAGGCGGAACATTATTAACTGATTAACCTGCTGGCCCAACGAGTCTACTTAAGCTGAGAATCAATGAGCCTACGGCAGAAGGGCTTGAAGTCGCTATGTTTCCGCTGTGATACTGCTGCTGGAAGCATTAACCAAGCACGTTCTGTGCTGCGCTCGGACTTTGCGCTCGGACTTTGCTCGGCGCCGGTATGAAGGCCAATCTCACATGGCCAGCGACTCAATCGGTCAATTCAATCTCTCTATCTTACGTACAGACAAAAAGGTAAGATGGGAGGCGCTGCTTCGCCATGGAGGTCTCTGTTCGAGTAAGGCAAGCATTCCTTGGAGCCGGCGTGTTGAATGAGCTACACGCCCTACGGTGGTCTCCAACAGCGCTGCGAGCACTGCCGGCCATCTGGTGCTGCCGGATTGAGCTTTTCGCGCGCCTTCCAAGATTACAATAAGCCATCGTTATTGGTTGCTGCAGTAATCGTGGTAGATGAGGCATTAGGAAACAGATAACTGGTGGCCTGGCTCATGTTGAGAACGCTTAGTGCGCTAGCCGGTGAGGGCTCGTCACAGGGGGGTCTCTGGAAGCTGCCAAGCAACGACAGCCTTCTATAAAAACATTGGCGGGTACCTAGATAACCTCAGTCAGGTGTTGAATTAGGGGTCATGGGATGTTGGCAAGGTTGCACGATTGCATTTGAATGACACATGCAACTCTAAAAGGTAATCCTATATGTGACAAAGAACGGGATGAGTTCAATAAGAGTAGTTATAATTGAGTTTCAACCCTGCAATTGGAGTATAGATGAAAAGGTAGCGGGATCCCGTCGCCAATAGGGCCCATCTTGTAGGCCGCTGTAAACAGTTACTTATTGTGTGGCATTGCCTCCTCAGAAACCTCTCATCCACAGCCGAAAACTTATCTAGGTGCCGATAACAGTTCGCCGAATATCCAACAGCCCCCATTCAGGGCGTGTAGCTCAGGGGCAGAGCGTTCGCTTTGCATGTTACCAAAACATCAAAATGCGAAAGGTCTAGGGTTCAAATCCCTACTCGTCCAATTTTTTCCTCATTTGTTCACTATTTTTATATGTCTTCAAACTTTTCATTCATTGGCCATTTTACTTTTTTTTTCGGTCAACAAATTCACACTGCATCCATCACAATGTCAGTTGCTTTCAGTTCTGCATGTTTGCTTCTCCAGCATCTTTTTACACTGTGGGTGCCCTTCGATACGCGTCGGATGCCAGGAGCTCGATGCGCGGAACGCTGAAGATGAACTCTTTCGTACGGGTACTACAAAAGTCCCCCAACAAGACCATGTTGGTCAGCCATTAGGATGCGATGCAACATAGAGAATGCATACTGTAACCATCGAAGCTTGGGATGACAGGTTTATGTACAGCGGCTGGATGCTCCGTCTCCCTTGCCTTGTTTTGCCTTTTGACAGAGCAGCCAATGACTTGGCTGGCATTGGTCAGACATGCTTCTGTTGGTCGAAGGTAGTGTTACCAACTCGACCACTCAAAACAAACACGATCTTTAACGAGCAAAGGAATGTGCAAGCGAGATGACGAGTGTGACAGCCCGTAGCTGGATTGCTGATGTGAGTAGCATCGCATAGTCGCAGTGGTTGATCATTGTTTGGAATTCCCGTCATGCCCCGCGCCGGAGTTAATCTCTGTCACCTTGACAATCCGGCTCAGAGAGGTACTCGTTGGTGAGTGGATGAAAAGGCACTCTCTGCCGTCTACGAAGCCAATTTCAAGTTCATCGCCTACGCTCGCGCGCTTTACTCTCTACAACTGAACCTCTATGAGTCCTAGAAATTGCTAGCTGTACGGGGTATCCCTATAACCCACGCCGTCATATATATACTGGACAGCATCACGATCTAATTGACCTGGTCGTCTTCTAACATATCCCCTTGACTTCGCCGCTCGCCCAAGCCAAGATGGGACCGCAGCAGCATAATGGCGCTGAGCATGAGGGCCCCGTCGACTTAGAGCAGGACCTCACGGGCGTTGAGGTCCGTTTGCCGACCCCACCGCCCATGTCGGCATCACCGCCACGTTTGCTCATTGTCGGTGCCGGATCTCGAGGGAGAGTATACGCTAGATGCTCTCTGTCGTCGAGCAACGGCGTAATTGCCGCCGTCGCTGAGCCTGACGCATACAAGCGTCAAGATTTCCTCAAGCACTTCATATGGGATCAGAATACTTCAGCCCCTCCCGAAGGATCCAGTTTCTCGCACTGGAAGGAATTCGTCGCATGGGAATTGGATCGCCGCGAGCGAAAGAAGGCTGGGCAGTCGGTTCCAGAGGGTGTCGATGCTGTCTTCATCTGCGTACGTGATGAATTGCATCGTGATGCCATCATGGATCTTGCTCCCTTGGACCTCCATATACTTTGCGAAAAGCCGCTAGCCACGACCCTCGGCGACTGCACCGGCATATACCATACATTGGCCCAGCTTCAGGCGACGAAAGTCTTTTCCATCGGGCATGGTGAGCAATGACAATTTTACCCCTTCCACTTCATAGGCGCCAGAAGGGAGTTGGTCTCTTTGTGCGGTTCATAAGACAATTAAGGATTGCATATTAATCCCAAGACTATCCCGAAAAGAGCAATGACTGACTCCATTGTGCGATAGTTATGAGATACTCTCCACACAACATAATGTTACGCAAATTGATACTAGAGGACAATGCTATTGGTAGCATCCTCAGCGTGAACCACACCGAACCGGTCGGCTTTTGGCATTTTGCGCATAGTTACGTCCGTGGGAATTGGAGAAAAGAATCAACAACTGCTCCATCCCTACTGACTAAAAGCTGCCATGACATCGACATTATTCTTTGGCTCATGTGCTCACCTCCGCCAGGATCAGTGGAGCCTGCACATTTGCCGAGCTTTGTCTCATCTGCAGGATCTTTACAGTTCTTTAGGAAGAGCAGGAAGCCGAAGACCGCTGGTGCCGCTACAAACTGTCTATCTTGTTCAGCCGAGCCTGATTGCATTTACTCAAGCAAGAGAATTTATCATGGATCGAGACACCTAGGGGTCAGCACTGGTAATACTCGGTGGCCGATCAGCGTAGTACTTCCCGATATAGAGAGTTTTGGGGGCGACATCGATAAGGCTCAGGCAAAAATGCTGTCAATACTGTCTGAGGATTACGGTAACTCGACACCACAAGAAGAGATCGAGAGTAAGAACTGGTGGGGGCGTTGCGTCTTTGAGTCTGACAATGATGTGTGCGACGAACAGGTGGTGACAATCACATGGGAAGACGAGCCTCTTCCATCCTCAAGCGCCGCGGCACAGGATGCCTTGGGAACAAGAGGTGCTAAGCAGGCGACTTTCCACATGATTGCACAGACCAGGAAACAATGTCAACGATACACGTACCTGTACGGCACTGAGGGAGAAATATACGCAGACTCGTCCACTATCACTGTCGAGGACTTCAAAACCGGCACAACCAAGACGTACAAGCCCCAGCTAGAAAGTCTAGGCCATGGTGGCGGCGATCACGGCCTCACAAGACAGTTTGTCCTCGCTGTTGATAAGGTGAAGAATCATGGCTGGAAGGCCCAAGACGCCCAGCGGGAGTTCATTGGTTGTGACCTTGAGGAAATCATAAGGAGTCATGCCCTGGTATTTGCGGCGGAGGAGGCGAGGCGAGAGAAGCAAACGATCGATTGGAAGGCGTGGTGGAGTAAGCATGTCACTTAGTGTAAACGTAAGAGGTAGGTAGATACTTTGGGGTGAGAAACCGGCCATTTCGCAGTATTAGTAGTTCCTTTGTCTCAGGTATTTACGTTGGATTGTTCGCTAAGCTGAATATGTGCACAGAACTCGGTATAGGTTCTAGGGCGCGTGACCGAGCCGTGGTGCTACAATTAAGCAAATCGGCCATAAATCGTTCTTTCCACCCTTCACTACGTAGATGCCTCGCAAGGCTCCGCCTCGAACGAGGCGAGTCCGTAATGTTACATTTTTCGATGACTTGATCGCACATAATGTATCGCCTTTTGATTCAACTATGACTGGGTGGCTGTTCCTCTCCGGAAGAGATAAACTCTTTCGCTGCATCTCTGCCCATGTATCTGACACGGGTTAGCATTGGAAAGCACAAACGGTTCTAGAAACAAACTTACACACTCAACATAATCTCTGCAAATTCATCTACGTCACTTCCCCTTCCATTTTCAAGGAATTTTTCGAAAGAAAAGTTTGAAATAATGAACTGCGGCGTCTGTTTCCATAAGCGCTGAAACTCGACCGAAGAACTTGCCTCCCATAGAGGACGACAGAGCGTGAAGCGATGTACAAATGCCCATGGGCCTGGGTCTTTTCCTGTTGTATCAGGGTCTGCCGAGATTATTCAATTCAAGGAAGCGTACCTTCGTCTTCTGAGTCCTGTAGCATTTTATAAATCCAAATTACTGCGTATGCCATGACAATGGTCCGACGGAGAGATTCGGCAAATATCCATCTCTAACGGTAAGTCAGTCAGTAGGCGAGCTATTACGACAAGGGATAGAGTGAGCCACAACCTCCCAATCTTTTGGCGGTTGTTGCGTCCGCATCACGGTGTGTTCTAGGTGAGCAAAGTCCCCCATATTTTCGCGTATCTTACATAGCTCACTCAACCATACCAAAAGTCTGGTGTAAAAGAATATGTCAGTCTGAACTTTTTATAGTAATCACAGTATAAAATCGAATTGTCATATAAATGAAACAAAAAAGTAGTCACTATGACTTGTATTAGCACACACCATTATAGGAAGGGATGAATAACAAGAACGGAGCGGGACGATGTTACATGCCATTTGTGTATCCTTCTCGCCTTGCGTGCGAAGAGCAATATCTCCCTGTAGAACGTGAGCGTCCAGGACAGGAACGTGTCCAAGATGTGGGGTTTGTCAAAGTGCAGCATCTCCCCTTTCCCTGCCGTTTCTTTTTCCTTTTTTTCGAATCGAATTCAAGGAGTTGCGAAAATCGCACTCACTACCAACATATCAGCTTTAGTAAGACTAGTTTGGCTTGTAGGACCACGTCCAAGACCCGGCGGGCTAAGAGGTGACTCATACCATCGAAGAGGCAGATTACTTGATACAGAAACAACGCCTGGGCACGAGCAAGTTTCTCAGTAGGCGTGGCAATGGTGCGCCCAGACTCGGTTGCAACGAGTTCGCGTCGACTGTGATGAAGAGCTCGCATCACCATTGGCGTGGTGGCAGACGTAGCATTGTTATAGAGAACACAGATAGAAAAGCAAGACACGATGCATGCTGGCGCGTAATTTCGGTAGAGGTTTTTATGTAAAAAAGGTGTTGCATTCCGCGTTGCCATATCATTTGTGAATGTTTTGACGCGGTTGACGACATAGTAAACTAGCAGGATGATGGTGTCCTGTCAGCTTCTCAAACCTTTCGATCGATCGAATAGACCAGATCCTATGACCCTGGTTGAAGATGGAATGGCATTGATGCATACTATATTGTGAGTTAGCCCTCGACGAGAGCTTGACACGGAGTTCGAGAGAGCCGTAACTGAGGAAAGACACTTGCCTTGGAGAAGTAGGGTCATAGATATCCCACGGCGTGGCGTTGTCCTAGGACTTATCAGCTTAAGATGTCGCGATGTCGTAGAAGGTATGACTGGTAGAATTTCTGAGCTTACACAGAACGGCGCCATCTTATCGTATGCCTTAGTAATTTCCTCATCTGCTGGAGTTCCCGGGCGATCATTAGTGTCGCGTTGTATCAGCCATTGGTCAGGCGCCGGTAAGCTACTACTATTCATCAATTCCATAAAACTGTCCATCGGATAGTCAAAGGAAGTATCTATGGGCAGCTGCTGTATGTCATGAAAAGTAGGTGCTTGAGACTCCCGTGACGATGAGCCTTCAACCTGACTATCGAGTAACATGCTGGGGTTGAAAACAGGAGAGTCGGTCTCTCCATAACAAGGAGACTCCGCTGGAAGATCCGCCCCGTCGCGGGCACTGGCTGGTTGATAGTTTGGTCTTTTTCTGTTGTACGTGCAGCT